AAACTTCACTTTTTATCTAAGGCGTCAAAAAAATTGCGTGTTACATTTGTGAGTTACTTTTCATCTTTTCCGTCAATGTATTTTGCATCCCCAACTCCGTTATTTGTGGCCCTTCTTGGATATGAATAACCTCGCTTTTTGTGGCACAAAGTCACTGATTTCCACCGATAGCTATTTCGTTTGAAGCGTAAGGGAGTTGACTCGTTTCATTCATGTTGAATGAAAAAACTTACAATTGATTTCGAACGAACCAAATATAGAACTACTAGTGAAAAGTTCATATATCGTTTGTTTTTTTTAAGAAATCAACATAATCAAAAAATTTTGCTTATTCAGATTATTATTATAACAGAATATAACTTAAATTCAAACACTTGAACTTATGATTTACACTTTATTGACTACATGACGCGTTTCGTCGTTACAAACGACTTAATCTTCTTCCAAAATAATGTATGAATATAAATTATCATTAACAGATGAAAATGCGCAGATTCTTTATAAATAATTTTCCAGATGAAAATGCGCAGATTCTTTATAAATAATTTTCCAATTTGAATGGGTTTGCGTTGGAGGTGAGTCATCAAGGAAAAACCATTTTGTGACGACATAATATGGTCAGAGTCATAATCACTTCGGTTCATTTTCAACCGAATATAAATAACATATTTGTTGAATACAATCGAACAAATAAAAGAGTTTGTCCAATCAAATTGATCCATGACATGTTTCTTTTACATGCGTTCCAACATCATAATTAGAAATTCTCATTTATCACTAACGAACACTTTTCGCTTTTTTCTGCTATGTACATAAAATATAGAACAAAGTTTTACGTCTTCCTTTTTTGAGGAAACACCACGAGTTTTCTGTTGATGTAATACATTTTGTTAGATTCGAAATCCTTTTGTTCTCAATATATTTTGTGATTCGGGAAAGTAATCACTAATGTTTCGTTAGTATGTAACATTGTACCCGTGCTGGCTATGTTATTTTCAGAGTAATATCTGGCAAAAGTAGATTTATTGCTTCAATTTCCTTTCAACGAATTAAAAGCTCTCAATAGTAAGTACTTCACCGTGAAACGAAAATCGATGTTAAGTTATATAATCGTCTGTGTATTGTTACACGGAAGTCTATTTGTGTATTAAATTCGTGCAGCAGGATACAAATCGAAGTTGCTTCGCTTCCGCTATCGAATGGCCCGTATTACAAAGCGGAACAGTTGAAATTGGGCCCTTTGTGCTCCAACAACTACTTCCTTCCTTTATATTTATATGAAATTGCTAAACTGGATTTTTACGATTGTCATATTCAGAACGAGAAAACGAGCTGATATATATATATATATATATATATATATATATATATATATATATATATATAAGTGATTAAAATCTCATTTATTTATTACAATTCTCATTAAATAAATACAATAAAATAAATTTATTGAGAAACATTATTTACATTGTAAAATTACATTCATTTCAATTGATACAAAGAATTACAACTAAGAAGAATGCTCTCAAAAGGACTGATTTCAGTTTTGAGTCTGATCTTCCATTCAGCCCTCGGGCAAAAATATTGCTTCAAACAAAAATATTGGTTATATTTATATTTACAATAATATTCAATTTTATTTGAAAAGAAAAGAAAAAATTATCTCAGAAATACTAAAAATTTGATACAATTTCACATGGTGAAGAACATTTGTGTTAAAAAATATACAAAAAAAATTGATTCATACATTATTGCCTACATTCGAATCATCGAAGTACTCTGACACACTATACCTAGTATGCCTTTGTTAAGAGCAGGCATTTAACTCTCCTCTTAAACAAATGAGCTTTCAGTTCTTTCAAATTCGATGATAAATGGTTGAAAATTTTAATACTCTGATAATAGAGAGAGTGCTCAAATTTAGCAGTTTTATGCATAGGAATAGAAGCACATCACTGTTCCTTGTTGAATAGTCATGATAACTATTCAATTTAATAAACCTATCTTCAATTTCTTCAACATATAACAAACGTCTTGAAATATATAAACACGGTAAGGTGAGTATGTAATTATTAATGAAGATCGGTTTACAAGATGTTCGTTGATGAATATTGAATATTAATCGAAGTATTCGCTTCTGTGTAATAAACACCCTATTTATTTCTGTAGAGCAGCCCCACAGCAGAATATTATAATTTAGATGACTATATACAAGACTGTAATACACATTCATAACACATTTTCTAGGTACGATGTTCTTAATTCTAGAGATTGCTATACATCAATGTGTGATGTCCATCTCAAATTTCTGTCTACATATATTCCAAGAAACTTTGTTGATTGGGATGATGATATAGTGTTGTCCCGATATTTAACATCCAAGGTACTAATTCCATTGCCTTTCACACAAAAATGAACATATACAGTTTTGTCAACGTTCACCATCAGATTGTTCATTCGACACCAATCACATGCCTCCATAAGTTCTTCAGAAGTCCTGCCAGAAACAACTACCGATGAATCATCGGCAAATAGTGTCACCAAAAATCGGCAGTAGGCAGATCGTTTATAAACAATATGAATATAAAAGGTCCGAGAGGTATAGAGCCTTGCGGCACACCAAGGGCAATGTCATGTGCCTGACAATAACTCTCGCCTATTTTTACTACCATTGTTCTTTCTTCAAGAGAACTACGTAACCAAATTAGAAAAACACCTCTAAAACCTAAATTGCAGCATTTATTAAGTATAAATTCAAAGGATAGTGAATCAAATGCCGAAGATAAATAAAAAAATAACCCCGCCACAAACAAGTATTTATCCAAACACTCGTAGATTATTTCGACACTTTTTTGTGTCTTCTTCAGGAGAAAAAACAAGCTGCAAAGTAATAATTACAATGATCAAATGCAATATGTGAAAAATATAAAACTACTTACAATTAGAGTTTATGCAGTGATAATAACGTTATAATGATGCAACGAATAATGTTAGTTCTGTTATTATCACTGCATAAAATCAAATTGTTTAGAATTGTCTTAATAGTCAATACTGAGGTTTTAATCGAAATATTCCAAATAAATCTCTCAGGGGGTGGTCTACACAAATATTGTCAACGAAAACACAACCTATCACTTTCTAGAGTCAATATTAAGTGCGTTTCGAAAAACATCGAACCTGTTGAAGGGAAATACCACAGAATTGTTTCATCCTGTTACTTCAGTGGCGTGCATCCAAACAATCAAGTTTCGATGGTTTTCCAAACGCATTCAGGTCCTATCTTCAAAATGAGGTGAACATTCATTTATGAACTGACCACGTAAGCTCTTACTATAGAAGAAACGAGATAAATATTCTCGAGTATGGCAGATCGCTTTCTCGTGACAAGATCATTGCATATTTAGAGGTTTTGTAGACGTTTCATTCTAACACCTCAGAACTTTTTATATATGTAAGAATATTCCTATGCCTTATCGTTCACTCTAAGATTTTCATGAATCTCAGAGTGAAAAATGAATGGTATTAAAATAGGAAATTAGCAATTTTTGCTCCAATTTTTATTCGATTGGACGTTTCGGCAAAGTTTGTTTGCCAAGAAATGCCACTAATTACATTTGTGTTTTCACCAACAGATTTATGATGAATCAGTGTCGTTGAGTTGTTGTTTGTGTATCGCTTATATAGCTTTAAGTTACAGCAATTTGTAAAATGAAATTACTTTTCTTCAGTTCTTGAATATTAGATTATAACTCATTACTTACCTTCATAAGGAGACCTGATAGAAATACTAGATGATCTGAACAAAGAATTGTCGAAAATTGGATTCAACACAATATGTTGAAATTATGTTTCTTAGTTGAAATGTTCAACTAAGAAACCAAACAACGTTTTGCTATTAAGTTAAGTAGTTTGACAAGCCAGAGCCACTGCCACCTTCATTACTTCAATAGAATAGTATTAAAGGTGGCCGTGCCAGAGCATTATGACGAATGTATCAAAATATTTCTGGGGAATTGGGATAAGTATCTATCAATTCTGCATGGAATAGATATCAATGGATCTCCATCTCAATCGCTTGGTTACATTATGTATAAAGGTGTTTTATCACACTTTAACCCGTTGGTGTATCACACAGTCTAAATAAACGACTCTTTTGTTTGGTTACAAAGTTTTAAATTTGTCGCAGCGGGAATACAGTTATATAAACCTGCTCCGAAAATAGATTATTTCGTTTGTTGACACATTAAGTGGATACTCAAGCCGCACCCCTTTAAAGTTAACAAAAATGCATGAAAATATTGTTTTACATTGAAATTTAATTATGAAGGTGGAACATTTCATTTAGCCGAAGTTCACGTAATTTAAAATAGTTCAGTCCGTTTCCGTCAAGACTTTCAAGTAGTTCCGCTATTTGAAAGAGAAAATTTCATAGTGAGATTTCAATATCAATCGATTTCGCATATAACATTCAATGAAACTTTCTTCGGAACCTCTTTCAATTGAAAATGTTTGACTAACTTCCACAACATTTTTTAATATATTGGACATATATTTTGGACTACTGGATATGTAATTTACTATAATAGGAGAAAAGTAATGAGTATTTTTAGTAATAAGTAATATTATTTAGTATAATAAGAAAAGTAATAGGAAAAAAGATCTAATTATAAAATTGTTAGAAATATGTTATGTGATCTCTTGATAATGGGTTAGTAGCCCGAAACATACGTCGAACGTATTGAAGAATTTTGTCGTAGTTAGTTCCGGTTTTCTAATAATACGAGGATATGTAATTATGAATGTAGATATCACAATGGGAAAAAAATAATTAATAGCTCTGTGCGGGTTCGTGGTTTGGAAATCTATATGAAAATTTCGACGTTTATTTTTGATTAATTATAAATTTTTTCTTAATGTAAGTGGATCCAAAACTTTCAGACTCTATGTTACTAATCCGTGTGATGGACTTGTTAGTTGACTTAACAACAGCCATCGGGCCGGTCTCCGTAGCTTAGTCGGTTTAACACCCGACTATGGTGCGGTAGAACTCGGGTTCGAGCCCCGCTAAAGGCATGGGTAGTTATGTTTGTCTATGATTTAAGTAGTTTGAATAATGATATATGCTGGGTAATTCGTCAATATCCGTTCGGAACCGGCGTTAAACTGTAGGTCCACAAAATTTAAAAACAGTCATCGGGGTAAGTATGTGGCGCTAAATAGTACATCAGCTAGTCTATTTCAATAAATAATCCTTGACGATATATTGCCCCAAAAAATTTATATTTCATTCTGTGTCATTAGCACTAGAACTATATGTGTGTGTGTATACACATAAATATATTCATATATGTTTGTGTGTATATATGTGAATATATTTTCATTTTCTTGAAGACATCGTCGAAAAGGCCCCTGAAATACGGAAGGAATCGCGAATGTAATTCAAACGAATTCTATTGACAAGTGAAAATATCATACGATGACATTTGTCAGATAGACGTTGCAATTTGGTAGATATCTACAGGTATGGACGCGTATACATTCGATGCTTTATCTTGATGCAGAGATGTTTTCTCTTGATTCGTATAGCATTATAGATGGAATTGTATTATTCATTACTTGACGGTTTTTCACTTTTAGTCAATAAAAATGTGCTGGAAGCCGTTACCTTAATTGACGTTAGGCGTGACATAACTGATGAGTTCCTTGTAAAAAAAACAGTGTGCTTCAATCAAATGTGGATTCGATTCCTTAATTCTCTAATATTTATCCTTTTGAGGATGATGAAATTTCAATGGATGACTAGATATTTTCTTTAATAAATAAATAAATATATATATATATATATATATATATATATATATATATATATATATATATATATATATATATATATATATATATATATATATATATATATATATATATATATATATATATATATATATATATATATATATATATATATATATATATATATATATATATATATATATATATATATATATATATATATATATATATATATATATATATATATATATATATATATATATATATATATATATGGGGTCGTTCAAGTATTACGTAAGCACTAGAGGATGACTGGGGGCTCTTTGCTTTGCTCATTTTGGATGACATGGGGGGCAGAGGGGTCTAGATGATGATTATCACCAGTAGTTATTTACTTTCTTACACATATGGCAACCCTCACGTTGTCTCTCTTGAAAACTCAACGCATTTTCTGGGATTTCCACAAATAATTTATATGTTTTAATTACCTCGAGTAAAAAGTGAACACACACACTGGTAAGAAGGTAAGACCTGTAAGAGTCGCTGGTCGTCGTGATAATGAACTGATGTGCATTACTCTAAATTTAGAGCACAAAGATTTTGAATGACTATAGGCCTAGATAAAAATGAAAATGGTCTAGACATTACAAAATTGTATGAAGGTGAGCAGACTGACAACGCTGAGCAGCGAACATCCAATATAACTTAGAATCATGAATTCGGGTATCATAGTCTGAGGACTGTTAATTCGAATAAATATGTGTAAAAAGATTTTAAGTAAGTTTTTATATTCGTAATATAACTTATTATTATAATATTTTCGTACCTTATTCTATGTTGAATACCGTATCAGTAAAATCCAATCTTTATCCTAAAACTATTCAATATATATAAAAAATTCAATATATAAATTAAAAAATGTTTACGTAAGCATTGGGGAAGGGGGTGAGAGGGTGAGAGGTCAAGGGTGATGGGGGTAAATAATTGTAATAAATCTGCTTACGTAATACTTCAATGGCCCCTATATATATGGCATCTATATATATATATATATATATATATATATATATATATATATATATATATATATATATATATATATATATATATATATATATATATATATATATATATATATATATATATATATATATATATATATATATATATATATATATATATATATATATATATAAATATGATTTATTGCCTGTTTAAGATATTTTATTTCGAAAGTTTTTAGCAATAACAGGCTTTTTTTGATATGAAAAGGTTTATTTTTGTTGACGTTTCGTTGTTATATTACAACTTTGTCAAAACTAATGAATAATTGAATTTATGAGTTACTATAGATATCAAATGTCAAACTCATTTTTTAGAAAAATCAAATTATTTTTTTTGTATCTTCACTCATTGATTTTCATTATCAAAAGGAATATTTCTGGCTTAGCATTCACTTCGGAAGTTTTAGTCTTCTTCACCATAAGAAACCTCTGAAAAACTCATGGTAAGCCAGGTAATTCTAATAAGATTCATATTTACATTTTATAATTACATATAGTTTTTTATATACTTATCCAGAATATGTATATTGTTGGTTTATGTGTGTGAAACTGAAGGTAGATCTGGAAAAAATGAGTGTTGAGATGTGATGTTTGGTGATTGTTGTGTGTTTATTTTACGAGTGTTATTTGTGAGGTTTATTAAGTTGTTGTAAATCGAATTAAGATGTTTAATGTCTGTTCTTTCATTTACTGTGTTTTCTAAATTTTTACGAATGTGTAACATTTCTAAAATTTCTCTACTTTTTTGTCCCTTTCAGTTTCCAAAATTTTCGTATTTTTGTAATCAAAATCATGTTTTTCTGTTATTTTATGTTTATGTAAGGCTGTGATTTGAGTTTTCGCGTATTTATGCGCTTTGATTCTTTCTTCGAGGTTTTGTGCTGTTTGTCCGATATAGCTTTTATTGCAATTGTTACACGGAATATTATAAACTGTATGAGTTTTTCTCTGAGTTACAGTTTTACTTTTTAATTTTGTATATATTTCTTCGATTTAATTTTTGGCAGTATGTGCTATCCTTAAATTATAAGGTTTTTATATTTTTGCAATATTTGTACTTAATTTTGGAATATATGGTAAGGGAATGTAATTATTTTCGTTAGATTCACTTCTTTTTTTAATGTAAAGTATTATATAATTTATGAATTCTGTTTTCCATGATTATGTTAATTAAATTTAATGGGTAAACATTTTTCATGAGAAATATATAAAAAAAATAGATAAAGATCAAATTAATAATATACTAGAACGTTTCAATAGTTTTCATAATAAATTACAATTCACACTTGAAGAAGAAAAAGATGAAAAATTAAATTTTCTTGATATAACAATTATAAGGGAAGATAACAAAATTTTTACAAGATGGTACAGAAAAGAAATAAATTCGCAACGAACCATAAATTATATAAGTAATCATCACTATTCCCAGAAAAAAGGTATAATAATTAATTTTATAGATAGATCACTTAAATTAACATCATCATGTTTACGACATGAAACACTTGAAGAAGTTCGTACTCTTCGCATGAAAAATAATTACCCATTAAATTTAATTAACAAAATCATGAAAAACAGAATTCATAAATTATATAATACTTTACATTCAAAAAGAAGTAAATCTAACGAAAATAATTACATTCCCTTACCATATATTCCAAAATTAAGTACAAATATTGCAAAAATATTAAAACCTTATAATTTAAGGATAGCACATACTGCCAAAAATCAAATCGAAGAAATATATACAAAATTAAAAAGTAAAACTGTAACTCAGAGAAAAACTCATACAGTTTATAATATTCCGTGTAACAATTGCAATAAAAGCTATATCGGACAAACAGCACAAAACCTCGAAGACAGAATCAAAGCGCATAAATACGCGAAAACTCAAATCACAGCCTTACATAAACATAAAATAACAGAAAAACATGATTTTGATTACAAAAATACGAAAATTTTGGCAACTGAAAGGGACAAAAAAAGTAGAGAAATTTTAGAAATGTTACACATTCGTAAAAATTTAGAAAACACAGTAAATGAAAGAACAGACATTAAACAACTTAATTCGATTTACAACAACTTAATAAACCTCACAAATAACACTCGTAAAATAAACACACAACAATCACCAAACATCACATCTCAACACTCATTTTTTCCAGATCTACCTTCAGTTTCACACACATAAACCAACAATATACATATTCTGGATAAGTATATAAAAAACTATATGTAATTATAAAATGTAAATATGAATCTTATTAGAATTACCTGGCTTACCATGAGTTTTTCAGAGGTTTCTCATGGTGAAGAAGACTAAAACTTCCGAAGCGAATGCTAAGCCAGAAATATTCCTCTGATAATGAAAATCAATGAGTGAAGATACAAAAAAACTAATTTGATTTTTCTAAAAAATGAGTTTGACATTTGATATCTATAGTAACTCATAAATTCAATTATTCATTAGTTTTGACAAAGTTGTAATATAACAACGAAACGTCAACAAAAATAAACTTTTTCATATCAAAAAAAGCCTGTTATTGCTAAAAACTTTCGAAATAAAATATATATATATATATATATATATATATATATATATATATATATATATATATATATATATATATATATATATATATATATATATATATATATATATATATATTTTAGGATAGATAAAATACTATAACATTAGTATTAGTATCGAGTGAACTTAATAACAGACTCTAGTTGTTTCACTCTATTTTCTAACACTACTGAAAAATTTCCTTCGTGATAAATTTATGTTCATAAAGCCAGCATTGGAGTTGTCTCAATACTAAAACTTCCATCAAGAGATATTATCAAAGTAGTAAAGTATGGAAGTTACTTCAACTTTCGGCGTAGTTTTCATCAATCACAATCTTATCGCATTTTCTTTAATAGAGAAAACTTCTCTCCTAAATCTGTCGAAGGAAGATAGTTCTCACTTTCCTAACCGTAAGAGGGTTTTTACATTCCGCAAAGTTTTTATGGATATTTCTGAAGTAACGTATGAAACTCTATAGAACGGAAAATATGGAAAATCGTTACTTTTTTCTTCCTGACATTTTATTGCAGTCTTTTCCAATAGAAAGGCGATATAATAGTTGATAATGAATATGCTTGTTGATATAAATAATAAACTAAAATATAAAAAAAAATCATATGAATTATTAAAAAAATATGTTGTGGTCATTT